GGACTATAAATTAATAAATTGTGTGATTTTTTCCAGTTTCTAGTTTTTTGTTTAATGAATCAGCAATATAGCCTTCTGCAACTTTGTCTGACTTCCAAGCTCCTAGTCGCTTAAAGTACGTCAAACTGGCTCCAGAATTTGCCAATAATGTAGCAGTCCTCCTGAAGCTGTGCCCAGTAAAATACTCAGCATCCGGCAGACCAAGAAACGTAGCTATTTCTTTTGGCATATTACCAAATTTGTTTATCCCGCTTGCTTGAGGTGTACACTTCCCTTTTTGATAATTTTGGAAAAAAGGTCGGTTTTTGCGTTTTGGGACCGCTGGTTCATATATTTTGCAATATTCTAAGAAAATCTCCTTCAACAACAAAGCTTCTTGATATCTTATTTTTGCATTTGGAATCTTTATTAGTAGCATTTTTCCATGGGATTCAATATCTTTTAAAGTAATATTGGCTAACTCCTCTCTGCGGCAAGCTCCAACAACGCCAAAAATCAGCGCAACCTACCAAAAAAAGAGATTAGATTAATATTTTTTAAATAATATATTGACTGCATTTTGCGATTTCGTAAACTGAATACTACAGAAAAATATAAGTATTTATTAATAAATTACCTTTGTAAAGCAAAAGCAAAAAGCGTATGTCATTTTATCAGTTATCAAAGAAAAGAAACATAACATATGTACATGCAAATCTATAATCACAGAAAATTTCGTAGACATAGTCATTGCAGACATATATGGACCTTTGCCATCAGGTACCTTCGGGTATACTTTCATATTATAAATATATAATATGGAATAGATAAATAACGTTTATAAAATAATTGGAATTTTTTTTTCTCTTTTTAAAATAGGTTACCCCTACACTAGGATTTTCTCCTGTATCGTGGGGGCAGTTTACAAACATAAATTGTATAAGGACAAACATCCAGACCCGGAACAATTATTTGTAGGCCATACAAATACTTGTTCCGTGCGGATTCGAAACCACGCCCCCCAGCGCAGCCACTCATTGCTAAGCCACGGAGTCGTCACAAAATTGGTTAAACAATGTCTTAATTCTTAAGATATGGAGCTTGTTTACATATAAGAAATTTCTTAAGTTATAGAGGTTGTTCCTGTATAGATGGCTTATATGGAGGAGCTGCCGGAGATGCATATATATATATATATATATAGAGATTGGTCGGGTTACCGAATGCTTACAGTACCAGTACTGTTGCACAATGACTGGTCCTATATTAGGGACTTATCTATATTAGGGTCTCCTTAATGCATGAGCATTGTAACACTAGAGTTGAGTTGAAGTCCCATATATTAAAGATATATAATAGTATAATAAATATGTAATAGATAGAAGGTCTCTATGAAGTATAAGCATTACAATAGTAGATTTATGGGTTGAAGTCATATATATTAATGACCTATGATAGTAAGGTCTATAATAGTAAAGCATTACTATAGAAGGTCTCTATGAAGTACAATGTTACAATAGTAGAGTTGTGGGTTGAAGTCCCATAATAAAGACTTACGATAGTAAGGTGTAGTATCTACCTAGTACCTATACGTATGTTTGGGTATAATCTAATATATAAACTTATTAATAACTTTATTACAGACAGTCTTACGTCAACACTCAAGCATTTCAATTCTCTTGTCCTTATATGGCGACCCTGCCAGTCGGTGCGCGCGTGACTCCGCTCGCCGCGTGCACCGGCTGTCCACCGATAGTAAAATTATAATAAATACGTAAAAAATTGTATATTAAAAATTATTACACATTCCCGGATTGAGAAAATTAATTAAAGTCGTGTAGAGCCGGCCATCAAAAAGTTATATCATTTTGAATAAATATTTACAAAATAAAATTAAAACATAAGAAGTATAAAATCAAAAGGCTAACTTTTTCCTCCGGATAAGAAGAATATTGGTTGAGAAGATCTAAATTGAAGTATGCAATGGTGTTCACATAGGAAATTTTACACTATCAAGATATAATACACAATTTTCAAAAACTCGTAACAACCAAGCGAAAGAAAAAGGAGATATTTATCAAAACATAAAATTATCAAGAATTTTATCGAGTGGCCAGTTTTTAGGAGGACTGAATTTTTCGTGTACTCCATCTACAAGAAAACAGAAAGTATGTTATTTGCAAGAAACAAAAAAAAATTTAATAGAGTCTATAATGTGAAAATATGCTCGATGTATCTGCAAAACAATTACTGTATAAAATACAAATTATATGATTATATTTTTAAGGTGAGTGATTTTAAATATTTATCTCTTTTAAAATTTTAATTTCATAAAACTAAAAATATAATAACTTTAGTCACCACTCATATTTAGGTTGTTTTTTTTTACCGAAAACTCAATAGAAAGCAAGTGCCTATATAATATCCTGATTATTTTAGCGTGCTTATTTTAATTATCTATTTTGTTCTAAAATATTTAACATAATGAATGAAAAAAAGGAACTTTATTATATTGTTATCAGATAAACGACAACTCAATGAATAAATTTTGTAAAAGATAAATTGATCGGTGAATAATATTAATTTAAAACGCAGCTTAACTTAATAACGCAAACTGATATATTTTATTAATAATAAAAATTGCAATATTTTATATAGATATTATTTAAGAATTCATCGAAATTTAATATCATGTTTTCTTTGTATTAACATTGCGTATCAAATTGTAAACAATGCTGACGTGATCTTTTGCATATAAGGCATCGGAATATTACACGTAATTAATACAGAATGATGCATTAATATACACTACTGTTGTCTCCTGATTTGCCTCCAAAATATTGACTTTATACTTTTTCATTTACTTTATCTCCGATTAAAATCCAGTATTCAACTGATAAAAAAGACTTGATAAAATAAACTATTATTTTGTAATACGAAACTTTAAGTTGTTCGATACTTTTTTGAGATAATTTGATTACTGAATTTAGGTTATGGCTCCAATGACTTATGGATAAATATTAAACAACTTATATAACAAAAAAAAATACGAAATAGAATTAATTATGTCAAAACATATAGTTTATGTAGTATGGAAAAAAATTGTTTGTGCCTTAAAAGTATAAACTGTTTGCATAAAAGAGTAAAAGAAAGGATAGAAAAAGGAGGGTTAAGTTAATTTATAGAAAGGAAACTGTATGAGAATGTTTAGGTTTTGATATGAATGTGTGAAAGTTGAATATAGACTGCGGCATAGAAAGGAATACATATATAATAGTATAGATTTCAAATGTATATGTAGGATGATGTAAGTGATGTTTAGATAAATAATTAGGAACTATGCAATAATTTTGCTAGTTATTGGAATGAAGGAATTAGGCTATCGGACATTATCTTAGCCTATGTTTAGGGCCCAAACTCTGGTTATGTTAATAAACCGATATGCTTAATTGAAAGACGACAGAATGAGAATGAAAGAATATAAAAGTAACCGATACAGACAAAGATTTATGAAGATAATAAAAAAAGATGACCTTGAGAAATAAATGATGGAGAGATACGGGAACGTCCATCACTGGTAAAGCATATAGTCCTCAAGCAGGGTATGCTTCCGTGATAGGATGATAAAATAAGGAGTTACGGGTACTAGGGAACAATACCTTCATTACAAGTGATTTACTCATATTAGTACTGTTGGGGATTCTCTGGTCCCTCTTTGATGCATAAGCATTATGATAGTATAGTTATGGGTTGAAGTCCTATATATTAGAGACATATAGTAAATAGTAAGGTTTATGAAATAAAGCAGATATTTGGAAGGTCTCAAATAAGAAAAAGCGTTATAGTAGAAAAGGGATTTGAAAAGAACTATTATAGTGGCGTGTATGCTGCTTCACGAGCAACTGAGACCGATGTAAACTTGGGCTCGTCGCTCGTGTCCTTGACATATCATTTTAGTGCCAGTGGTAAGCGCGTTTGTTGTAACAATACGGCTTTCCCGTGGACATTGCACACCCATACCGTTTGTGGGCGCCGTCATAGCGCATAGCAATACGTCGTGTGTTTGATAGCACTTTTAAATGTGACAAGCGTACTCAATTTTATTTCTTAGTGCATTAGCGCTATGATATGTAGAGTTTTGTCCACTGCCGTCTTAGTAGCGTGCTATATGATTGTTATACGTTGTTCTAGTTTTTAGTTAACAACAATACAAAGGACAATGGCGAAATAATATGTCAAATATTTTGAAGCGTCTTGAGTTATAATTGTTATAGGACGTAATCAAAAAAAAAATTGCATTTTATTAAATAAACATCAAAGCTAGTAAAAGCCGGAATAAAAATCACTACTTTTTTGGGGACATAATTGATTGTAATCAAATGGATTTCGCTTCTGTCACTTAGTGTGACCAGTTTATAATTATTTCAGTTTCATAGTTATAAATCATTTTCACCTTATCTTGTTGCATCTGGTTTACGATAAAATAATACAGTGAAACCTGGTTAAGTGAGACATCAAGGGACCTGCAATGTCGTTTCACTTATAGAGGTATTCCACTTACCCAGTGTCTCAGATATACAGGTATAAATAAATATCTGTCTCATTTACAGAGGGTTCCATTAATAGAGGTGAGAATACAGGTTATTTCAGTTATGCAGGTGCGATCATTAAATAAAATAACGTGTTATGTATGTAAATGAGTTTTAATAAAAAAATATATGTAGTACTTAAAGGTAATCATACAAATGTAATCAACAAAAATATTCAAGCACGTTTTTACACGTAATATGTACGAATATGGAAACAGAATGTATCAATTATAAAAATCTGTCATTTTAGTTTGTCGTTTGGAAGTATCAGCCATCAGATGTTTTTCGATATTATAAATTTTATCAAATATGCTTTGGTCACCAATTGATGACATTTCAAAATAACTGTGCAAAGTTTCTAGTGCTTTTACTGCTTCGCGTTTAGAAATTTTTACTAAATTTACTTCCGCGCTCATTTCATCGTCTTCTTCTTCATTTTCCAATGAAGAAGACGAGAAGGGCATGAACAATGTCGCTTTCATTAAGTTCTCCTGAAGCTATTAAACCGTCATCGACGTTTATAAAATCTTGGAATGTTGGCTGTTGATTATTGTCGTTGCTGATGGCTAAGTTCCAATCTTCAGGACCAGTTTCTAAATTTTCGTCCTCCTCTTGTAAGCTTTCAGCTACAGTTATTCAGATTAAAATCCAGATTATTAAAGCAGTTTGCTATAGTAGTTTTGGTCACATAAACCAAGCTTTCCTAGCAAACCTCATCACCTGAAGAACATCGATTTGTGGGCACTGATTGTCTTCTAAAGATTTAATAACATGTCGAACAACTCTTTTCTGTAATAAATTTTGAAATTGTTGATGATGCCTTGATCCATTGGCTGCAAATTACTTGTCGTATTCGCAGGCAGATACACGAGTTTAATGTGGCTTAGCTCGGGTATATTATTGTGAGCAGTACATTTGTCCACAAACATTAAAATTTTTCGCTTCTGGGCTTTCAATTCTTGGTTTAAATTATTCAACCAATCAGAAAAAATAGTTTATGTCATTGCATGCCTTTTTATTATTTTGGTAATTCACAGGCAAAGTTTTAACACCTTTGAAACATCGTGGAGACTTAGATTTTTCGATTAATAGGATAGGCAACTTTTCAGTTCCTGACATGTTAGCACCTAGAAGTATTGTAATGCGCTCTTTACTAAGTTTCCCGCCATGACACGACTCACCTTTTAAGGTAAAAAGTTTTATTGGGTAGACACTTATAAAATAAACCCGCTTCGTCTGCGTTAAAAATATCATCAGCAGAACAATTGCGTAATAGAACTGGTAGGTCTTCAATCCATTGGCTACATTTGTTAACATCAACAGCGTTACTTTCTCCACAAATTGCTTTGAAAACTATACCGTTTCTTTTCTTAAACCCTTCCATCCAACCATTGCTGCTACAAAAATTATGAATATCGAGCCTTCGCGCGAAATCTTGTGCCTTTTCTTTAATCATCGGTCCACATACCGGAACGTTTTTGTTACGAAGTTGCTTAACCCATGTTAGCAAACACTGTTCAAGTTCAGGATATTCTGATAAACGTACACGTTTTAGTTTTCCTTGTCCTTCAGAACATTGTGATTCAATTTTATGTTTACTCTGAATTATTCTACAAAGAGTAGATTTTGGCACATTAAATTCGGCACAAACTTCTTCGCGTGTCTTCCCACTTTCATAAACGGATATTAACTTCAGTTTTTCACGTAATGATAACGATTGTAGCTTTCGTTTTGACATTTTTCAAATAAACATCTGTATGATAGTAAAGCGAAACTAAAACTGAAGGTAATTGAAGCTCAAAATTTGTACTTACGTACTTGGAATTACGTGTGGAATTTGTGGGTAGAATAAGAATGAGTAAACAAACAATGTTATCTCAGTTACAGAGGTTTATGCATATAAAATTTACTAGCTGTCTCAGTTATAGAGGTAACTATGATGATAAATCGAAAGAACAAATCCCAGATATAGAGGTTTACCTCGTCCCACTAACAGAGGTAATTCAATGCCAAAGTGTTGGGACCTCAGCATGAGTTCCAGTTATGGAGGTTTCTCACTTATCCAGGTCCCACTTAACCAAGTTTCACTGTATAATGATTATAAATATCATTTAAACAACAGTGACATAAGATTATTTCAAAAAATATGTCGTATTTTCTATATATTCTTGGAATTCAGATTGTTTAGTAAGAGACAATATAAATGCTATAGCAACACACCTGTCAATTATGACAGGGTCGTAATGACGTTTCCGTTACGTGTCGCCCACTCACACACACTGCTCTCGCGCCGTTTGTGTTGCTTGTGTTTTGTGTTCTTGGTTTTGCCTTTTGATTTCCTTATTTTTATTCGACCTGGACTGCCACTGGACTTATCCGGTATTGATTTTCTATTGTGTAAATATTGCGTGCCCAAGGATTCCGATACTGCTACACCCGACGACATTGCGCTGTTCTCATCTGGACTCCGATTTGTGCCCTACGATTTGGATCTTGTTGTCACAGGATTACTTCATTCAGACATGATGAGCGATCGTGGCAGAGTTACTCGCATTATGTGCATCAATTGCAACATATGCGTTAATACACTGCGTCGATACCGTGCTCTGGAAGTCGACATAAGAGTTACCACATTACTTTGTAGCTGGGTGTATCCACAAATCGTAAGTATTTATTCTAAGGAACCGTAATATCTTATATTTATCAGAATAATAAATCTATTATAGGTTTGTCCAGCTGAGTCTTTAATGATCAACGTTTTTAAAACAATTGTTTTAAAAATAGTCTGCACCCATTATTATACATAATATGATTGCCACATAAATTATTATGATGAACAATGGATGACACTTTAACTCAACATTTAACCTCTCGTCTGTTGCCACTACCAAACACAATAGATTATAATCAATTTCTTGCATAGAACTATATACGGATGACACCATCCTAATAACAAGAACTTTTATTTTTCAGATTACCGAAGATGACTATATCTGTGAAGCATGCAGAGATCTAGCAATGATAAGTGTAAATCATAGTTTACAAGAAATATCTGGCATTGATGACCAACAATATAGACCAAGTCACCAAGGCCACGTTAGTGTATGCCTTTTATGTGGGTGTTCCATTTTGCGAATGCAAAGTGACAGAATATTGAGAGATAACCCTACGGACCTGCATCAGTTGATGTTTACCATTATTGAAAACAGGGTTGCTCCAAGACAGGTATGCTATGTATATTTACATTTTTTGATGACTGTCTTAGTCTAGTGGTCTGCGGGGACTACGAAACCATCAGTTGCGGGTTCAAGTCCAAGTCTCAAATGTTTGTGTGATGAGCATGAACATTTGTACCTCAGTGATGGATGTTTATAATCGTATATAAGTACTATACTCGTATATAAGTACTGTTATCCTAGTTGCCATAGCATACGCTCAGGCTTATTGTTTTGATTGTTGGAACCATTTTCTTCTAATCTTTAACCAAATGGGTATTTTTGGTTCCTGTGTGTACATATACTAACACACATATATCATTGATTTGATTTCCAAATGTTATGATTATTATGTGCTTATTTATATGTGGTAGAGCCATGCTGCAGTTATATTAGATGTATAGTTGTAGCACGAATGGGTCGGCTCGACCGGGGTAGGACCACGCTCTCACAGAATACCAGCGTGAAATGGTAGCTTAATGCTGCTGTATTTCGTAAGTGAGTGTAGAGAACCGGAAACCATTTTTACTGGAAATGAGGCATTCCATCTTAGTCCTCACGGGAGACAATGCATCTGCGTTTTGATTCGTAATCGAGGATAGATGTAGATGCTGTGGGCCACAGCAACAACTTACCATCAGGTGGACTGTGTGCTAGTTTGTCTTCCTATACTATAAAAAATATGCTAATCAAACCTGAATGGCAGTGTATTAGAATATATTCAAAAGGGTTTTACTGATTTTTTTATAGAATAGGGTGACAAACGATCACACAGTCCAACTGATGGTAAGTGGTTGCTGTGGCCCAGGGACATCTAATCTGTCCTCGATCACGAAACAAAATGCAGATACGTTGACACCCGTGAGGACTTAGGTGGAATGCCTCGTTTCCAGTAAAAAAGGGTCTCCGGTTCTCTACACTCACCATACGAAACACAGCAGCATTAAGCTACTATTTGACTCTGGTATTCTGTGAGAGCGTGGTTCCTCCCCGGTCGAGCCGACCCATTCGTGCTACAACTATACTGTTTATATAACTGCAGCATGGCTCTACCATGTAAAATAATGATATGCCTGTTTTCCCACACATTTTATTTAAAAAGAAATTGTTCAGCTTTCTCACTCAAGTACTTTTTTTATTTCTAGATTACAGAAACTGATAAGGAAGGGGAAGTATGTCACTACACATGGCATGTATACCGCATACTGGTCTGGTGTAGACGAGATCGAGCGGGCATGCCAGGGGTAGGTATCATCCTTTCAGAAAGAATGGGCCAATGTGTGAAAGAGTATGAATGTGTAAGCCCAAGACTGCTATGGATACGAATGAAAGTGGGCTTAAAGAAGTTATTTGTGTTAGGGATCTACGCCCCAGACATGTCTAAGCCCACTTATATCCAGAGCAGTTTTGGGAAATGGTAAGGATGGTGTTAATGAAGTGTAAGGGAAATGAAAATATTATTATGCTAGGAGATTTTAATGGAAGGGTTGGGGTGAGGAGGCTTGGTTATGAAAGAATATTGGGAACGTTTGGTGATGAAAGTATAAATGAGAATGGTGAAAATATTCTCACCGTATGTATGGAAAAGAATCTTTTTTGACGAACACTTGCTTTCGCCACAAGAGGATTCACATGTATACTTGGGAAAGAGGTGACGATAGAAGCATGATAGATTTAATAATTGTGGATGAAAGATTGAGGGGCGCAGTGGTGGATACAAGGGTTTACCGGGGTTCTAACGTAGGAACGGATCATTATTTGGTTTTATGCCGAATTAATGGTCTATTCAGGCGTTGGCGCCATCGATCATCTGTGTCTACCACTGCGTTACAGCGTATTAGAACAGAAAGGTTACAAGATGAAGGTGAGAAAAACAAGTTCAAATGTAGACTGAAAGAAAATATAAGTGGTTTGGATGAATTATGTATGAAGGAGTTAGACTTGGAGAATGTATGGCAAAATGTAAAGAAAGGTTTAGTGGATGCAGCTACCGAAGTATGTGGTGTTAGTAAGAGAAAGAATGAAAGGAAAAATAATACGTTATGGTGGGATGATGAGGTACGTATGGAAGTTGAAGCAAAGAAGAGAACATGGCTAGATTTACTAGCAACAAAGGCTGGTAATTCTAGCGGTACGAATGATGATATTGAAAGAAAAAGGGCAGTCTTTAGAAATCTTAATAAGAGAGTAAAAGAAGTAGTTGAAAGAAAAAAGCAAGAAAGAACGGATAAGAATGATAGAAGAATATCGGATAATTTCCAGGCAAATATTAAAATGTTCTGGAAACTTGTAATAACTGCCAGGGGACATTCGAAACAGCCTATGATGAATGCTATAAGAGACGAGAATGGCTATATTCTGAATGATGAAGTTTTGAGTTTAAAGAGATGGAAGGAATATTTTGAAAGCGTGTTTATGAGTGAGGAGACAACGTGTGTACTAAGTGAAGTAGAAATTCCGAAAGAAGAGGAAAGAGGTAGCGAGATAAGTATGGGTGAAATAATGAAAGCAATGAAAAGCATGAAAGCAGGTAAGGCTGCTGGATATGATAGAGTTTCACTCGAAATGCTAAGGGCTGGAGAGGAAGTGGTGGCAGGCCTGCTGCACACCTTGTATAATTTATGCTGGGAACTGAAGCAGGTACCGGTAGACTGGTGCAAAGCCGTGATAGTCCCAGTATATAAGGGAAAAGTGTCGCAGCAGGACTGTCAAAACTACCGTGCTAAGTTACTGATTGAAAGGGTCATGAAAGAAACTGATGGAAAAATTTGGGATGTGCAAGCGGGATTTATAAAGGGAATGGGATGTATAGATCAAGTCTTTTCCATGCGCATGATCGCGGAGAAGTTTTTGGCTAAAAACCAAAAGGTTTTTTGTGCGTTCATGGACTTGGAAAAGGCCTATGACAGAATGAATAGGGATGTGCTATGGCAAACACTGAAGTCATTTGGGTGGGGCGCTGGCTTGATACAGGCATTGGAGTCCCTTTATAGGGACTCTAGTGCTTGTGTTAGGATCAACGGGGTCTACTCGGACTGGTTTGACATCCATAAAGGTGTCAGACAGGGCTGTGTGGCTTCCCCGTGGCTGTTCAACCTATTTATGGACAGTTGTTTGCAAAATTTGAAAGTTGAAGAATGCGGATTAAGAATGGGTGAGTTAACCGTCA